TGTCGAAGGACGCCTGGGGTGTGGCATGTCTTCTGTTGCCATGTTGCCAGATTTGAAATGGGAAAACCACTCGTAGACCTGTGATTTCCCCAAAGCATCATCATTAAAGGCTTGCCGAAGCATCCCAACAGTCTCGGCTACAGTTTTCCCTAACAGAAAGCAAAATTTCACGCACACTCTTTGTTCCTTCTGGTTGGCCATCTCACTAATCGCCAAAGGGTTGAAACAGGAACGCACACAACAGAGCACCACAGACAAACCACTTAACTCAGACTGACGCCAGCTCACTAACAGTCGCGGGAGACACCCAGCTAACACCACCTAGCAGCACAACTTGTAACTACAAAGCATGCGCGTGCAACAGGTCGGTTCCGGTTATTTTTGGGTCCCCCTTCGTATTTGTACCTATTCTTAAACACATCTTTAATCTAAGCTTATCTCAGCATTTTTTCCCTCCTTATGGAAGCAAGCAGCAACTGTTCCTGTTCTCAAAAAAGGCAAAAGTACCTCTGTTAGCAATTATAGGCCTATATCCATACTGAGTAATTTTTCTAAAATACTCGAATTTATTGTTCATGAACATGTTTCCCCTTATCTAAAATAAAAAATTAGTCTTTGTCAGCACGGCTTCTCGAAAACTAAATCCACAAGCACCAATTTGGTAACTTACGTTGATTTTATTTCTCCTATAGTTGGCTCTCAGAGACAAGATGATGCCATTTATTTTGATCTTGGCAATGCATTCGACCTTGTCCCACATTCTCTTCTTCACAAGCTTAGTGCTATTGGGCTTTCTGATGGTTATGTAAGCTGGTTTCGCAGTTACCTAACCAATCGGAAATCTCAGGTCTGTGTTTCTGGTGTTCTTTCCTCACCTTTTGTAGTTCTCTCCGGTGTTCCTCAGGGATCTGTCTCTGGATCCCTTCTCTTCAATGGGTTTATTAATGACATGTGTGATGCAGTTACCCACTCTAAGTGTCTGCTTTTTGCTGATGATGTCAAAATTTACCGAGCCATTAGTTCTCCTCAGGACTGCTATCTACTTCAGTCTGACATTAACTCTATACATGGTTGGCGCATTGCTAACTGTATGAAACTCAACATCAGTAAAACTAAAGTTATATCCTTCTCCAGGAAAATCAACATACTGATCTATGATTACAAACTTTGTCAATCATCAATAGCCCGGACCGATTCTATAAAAGACCTGGGAGTGTTTACTGATGCTAAACTATATTTCCATGACCAGGTCAATTACATTTTCTCTCACTGTGTAAAACTGTTGGGTCTAGTTCATAACATTACTTCCAATTTTTCATCTCTAGACTATATGCTCAGATTGTACACGGCATTAGTTAGATCTAAGCTTGAATATGCATCTGTAGTCTGGAATTAGATTACATCAACCGATGCCATAAGCTTGAATACATCCAGCAGAGGTTTGTGGCCCTTTGTTTTAATCGTTTCTATCCTCGAGTTCATTACAATTATTCTCTTGCTCTGGAGGAATTAAAATTGCATACTTTATGAACTAGAAGACATCGCCTTGATGCTCTCTTTCTTATTCAAATTTATTTTGGCTCGAATTTCTGCCCTTGTGTGCTGGAACTTGTTAGTCTCTGAGTTCCTGTTCGGTATATCACACACTTTGCATTGTTCAATGTTTGCTCCTCATGTAAAAATTGTCCTTCTGCTAGAGGTGCAACAGCTGCTAGTGTCATATGCAGGGATGTTGACATATTCAGAGCCAGGAAAGTTCTCCTCAATCATTTTTTAAATATAGTATAATTGTTAGTATTATTATTTGCATGTACAATAAACAACAAATAAACTGAATTATTATTATTATTCTCTTTGAAAATCTGTACTTCTCATTTCTCAATTAAATATTTATACGTTTCATTTCTCAGTTCTCAATAACACTTAGATTTATGTTAATGAAATTATTATTATTATTGATGTTGTTTGTTTGTTTGTTTACTTGTCTTCATTAATGTGCTTTGCCGCCAGTGCTTACCTATAATTAGTCTTTCACTTTATGTTGTGTTTGTCCATTAAGTAATTACTTGTATATACACTTTGCTGTGTCTGTAATTGGCCTTGCAGCTGTTGACTCAGCACATCAATAATAAAGAACTGAACTGAATTGAATTAATAATTTTCTGCAGCTTCTTATACATACTCCAGAATGCGAAAGTCTATGTGAGACTTTAATCTGACATATCTCAATATTACACAGCACAGAAAAACGGAAACAACTAGACATAACAATGATATAGAACTATTACAAGCTAAAAAAAAGGGGTCATCACTGTGAGGACCTCTGAGAACTCCAAATAATGCCCCAACTTTCTGTTTTAACAGAAGCGGTACAAGGACATAAACCATATCAGTTCAAGATATTAAATATTAGACATCAATAAGATTTTAGTCCAAATAATTGTAAATAACTTATATAAAAACTTTTGAGTATGTATTATGAACTTTGTAATGTAATAGTAGTTCCTAAACATGTTGATCTTGCCTTCTGAAGATGGTCAGCTGACCAAAACATGTAAAGGCAATAAATATCTACAAATTGAATCACACTGGACGGTGTCAACAATTATTCTATAATCCATATTACATTGTTTCACGTTGGGAACATGGCAGTGTAGTTGGTTGAGGCACTGTGCTACCAGCCATAAGGTTGTGGGTTCAATTCCCGACAAGGTCACTGGACTTTTCAATTGACCTAAACATTCTAGCCGTACTATGACCCTGGGGCTGACTCAGCCTCTAACAGAAATCAGTACCAGAAATCTTCCTAGGGGTAAAGGGTGGCCAGCACATAAGAACCTCACTGCCATCTGTGAGCTAACTGTCAGGAAATGTGGGAGTCTCGACATCTCACAACCCTATGGGCCTCCACAGCCTGTTACAGGGATAGCTTTACCTTTTTCTTACTTTATTGTTTCATGTTAAGTGTTTGATGTCTTCTGAATACCCTGGAAACACACGTAATATAAATTTTAAACTCCTAAGCCTAAAGCAATTCCACATTATATATCTATCCATTTAATGTGAGGGTCACTTTTAATTGTACTCCTATACATATGTACTACAAACAACATCATTCTCAACAGAGATACACATTCTTAGAACAATTATGATATTCGTTTTAGTTTTAATCAGCACAAACACAATTCATTTAAATTTTATTACTGTATGATGGTGTCCACGTAATGGTAGGTTAGAATACCTCCACTGTGGCACTGTAAGACATAGAAGGTGATGAAAAGGTAACCTGGTACCTGGGAGTATAACTGGGCACCCTGTCAATGGGGGACATAAATACAGGTCCTCCAAGTTGGGGACTAGACTCAAGGCTAATGACCTTGCTCTGTAAAGAAATTATTGTCACAAAATCCAAAGAAGTGAAAACCAGATGCAATCTGGCAGAATCTTTTGGGGAAGGCTATGACTCAAAAGGGGCTGTTTTGCCAATGACAGTGATGGTGGTGGTGGATCTGAAAATACTTACCTGATCTCCATCAAGGGTAACACAGTCCAAATTATTCTCTTCTGCAAAATGAAATGCAGCTTCCATGTTTCTGCAGAGAAGAGTCCTGCCAAACACATACTGCATTGCTTTATCATATTCCTGTGCATACTGCAGTCTGTGTATTAGTGGCAAAGCATCCTGTTTGTGGAAACATACAAAGACTGTTCAATAGCACTACTTTCAAATTCCTTAAACATGACAGTTTAGCACAAAACAAGAATGAATCTGACTGTTATAAGGGCTTTTTCTTACACTTAAAATGTTCCTTCTTATCGTGTCAAGATGGCTGATAAGAATATGATAAACAACTCTGTGGAGCTGAGCCCTTCTTGAGTAGCCATCAGTTGAATAGCTACTCAAGAATTTCCCAACATTTTATGGAACCCAAAGCATGTTAACATGACCCTTCCTCTGGTCCCTATGCTTAGCCAGATTAATCCGGTCCATACCACCCCATCCTATCTCCCTAAGATGAATTCTAATATTGTCCCCTCACCTACATCTTGGTCTTCTTAGTGGTCTCTTTCCTTCTGGGATAAGGACATGGTTATTCATAGATATTCATTTACAAATCGAGTAGTATGAATGTTTGCTCTATATTCTTTACTTCTCAGGGTAAGACAGAATTTAAAACTGTCTACAAGTTCTCCACCATGAAGATTTTCTTTAACTTTGCAGATGACTTAAAAAATCTATGAATCATATCAATTTTATACTAAAAATGGTCACAGTGTTGAAAAGCAGATACAGAAAGTTGCTGGTTTCTCTTTTTCTGAGGCAGTTCCCTGTACAAAAAATACTTGAAGTTCATTCCCTGTCAAAGCCAAAACTCTCCACTACTTTTATGGACAATCTCATTTGAAATTAATATGTAAAATTCCAACAACAAATTGTCACATCCCGGTGTAAGAAAGGAATTCCGAAGGAGCATCCAATATAGAGTGAGGTAGTGTCTCTGCTATCAAATAATACTCCAATTACTCTTGTAAACACATTATCTTAATACGCTTGTTTTACCTGTAAGAGAGAAAGAAGTCTTGGGTGATGTATAAAGAAGATATGTGTATAATTAAAACTTACTTTGTTGACTGGGTAATGATGAGCTTTAACTGAAAGGTGGTTCAGAAGAAAGAAATTTATCTCTCCACGCAAATGATTACGGTTAAATTCCTTTGTTAACTTGGAAGATACTTCATCAGTGGTCACAATGTGGTAGAAGAGCCTGTAACACAAAGGAATACAATTTGTGTAGTAGAACTATTATTTGTTCCAAAAATTCACACACCTCAAACAGAACAAACAGAAGTGATAATCCTTCCAGGCACAATTTCACAATTCACATACAAAGAGCCATAACTAAATTTAATTTCATGATTTTTCAGCCACATCAAAATTTACAAATGGTATTGGCAGTGTCACATAACAGGTTTACACATTAACTGTGATTTAAGAAAAAGCCCAACAAAACACACTCATTACATGTGAACATGCAGAATATTTACAATGCTACAACCTTATGAGCCTCCATGGCCCGTTACGGGGATAACTTTTTAAGGTGGACCTATTTACACTGTATTGATCCATTACACTGACTAGAAGCACCATGATCAAGTGTGTTTAAAACTTCCATTTTTCTTGGAGGGTTACAGTCATGTTTTCCTCTAGCACTCATTTTAACTGACGGAAAATACAATACTAAAACGCTAAAATGAAAATAAAATGTAGACCTACTAAAACACTAACAAGCACTGTTCACGTACACTTAGAAAGTTTAGGGATAGCTCTCTGCATGCCTACACTCCTGCAGGAGATTTTCTAGATCTAGAATGCTTTGACTTTAAGTGTATTTTAAAATGGTTTTGATGTGAGGCCTACATGTAATGCCATCGTCTATGTTAGCGCTATACATGGCAGTTTGCGATTGTCAATTGCAGCGATGTAATCAAGGTCATTGTGTGAATTATCGCAAATTCTGAATTAGTGAGGTTTCACTGTATATAAAGGTATTAATTAATTAGGCACTATGCCATGAAGACATAGGAGGCAATGGACCATTCTTGACTTTGGCACAAGAAGGAGATGAGTGGTCAGCTTCTTCACACCCAGGCTGCTTTACCTCTGGGGAAAAGGCCCTGGTACCCACTCGACAGGAGGCTGGGTAGGGTCCCAGAGTTGGTCTGGATGCTGTTGACAAGAGAAAAATCTTTCCCCTGCTGGGAAACAAACCCTGGCTGACCATCTCATGGCTCGTCACTAGATTGACTGAGCTATCCCGGTTGTGTGTATGTGTATTTTCATGTGTATGAGTGACTACAAATGGGGTTTGGATTGGTAATTGGTTTTATTGAACTCTTACAGAAAATAACTACAAGTAACTACAGTGCTATCGCTAATTCAAACTCTACAATTCACTACAGCACACACTAAGTCTTCTCAGTCTGCTGTATCTTCACCAGTTGTCGCCTGGTAATGGCTTCAAGCGCCATTGCTTCCTCAGCTTCAGTGTTCACACCTTTATTGGCCTGTAACGGTCTCACAACTAACTAAACTCTAGACCTGTTCTACTTATAACACCTTGGCATGGATGGCACAGAAAACACCTCTCCTAACAGCTCTTCTACTGTTGCATCATGCAGCAGTTGCACAGACCGTGTAGAGAACACCGTTACCCAGTTAGTCCATTGGTGCATCTTAGAAATCTGTTGCCTAGCAACGGGTGTTGTTAACAGAGGCATTACATAGTGACGGGTCTATATGCTATCATACATAAAACCTCAGATCCACATGAAACTGTTTCAATTTGAAAACCTGACATTAGCCAGAAGATTCGATCTTTTCTTCTGCAGGTTTCATGCATGTGGACATGGGAACCTTTCACTATATTCTCCAAAGAATTCTTGAAACACTTTACAGCATTATATGCATGTGGAAAGATAAGCTATACTTTGCACCATATTCTGTATTCCGTATTAAGTGGGTGGGTTTCCCCATGCACTTAGACCGGTTACTGGTCCATTGTGCGTCCCCTTTTAATTTCTACTGTCTCCATACCCTACGGGTACTGGTGCTTACTACCAGCCCCTTTCTGCCAGCGAGGTTCCAACCTCTTACTGGCAGTGGTATCTAATAGTTAGTCCCTTTCTGTCAGCGAGGTCATCCCTCCTCTGGCAGGGGTTCCTAGTCCCTCTCTGCCAGCAAGGTTTCTACCCTCTACTCGGCAGTGGTATCTAATACTTTAGTCCCTTTCTTCAGAGAGGTCCCCCCTCTTCTGGCAGTGGTACTGGATACTTCCCCCATCTATCGGAGGAATTGGAAACTAGTTGGGCGGGAAACTTGACCTAATTTTGCTCAGAGGTCTCCTAGAGACATGAGGTTCTTTTACGTGTCGTAAATTTACGACACGGGACCCATGGCTTAAAGTCCCTCCGGAGGGCTTACTTTGCACCAAAAGTTATGACATATGGTCGTACAAGAATGTGAGGAGAAGCAGTAGTGTGGTGGGGATACCCCTCAGTACACAAACAGTAGAAAAGAGTATCTACCTCTCTCCTCTATAACCACCACCTGACGATTCACTGTGCATAAAGCCAGGCAAAAGATTAACCTGCTACATCTGTCTGTGCATTGTTTGATCATCAGGTCATGTCCACGTTCATGATTTCACCAAAAATGCAACATTATTTCTGAGTGCATGCTATCACTCATAGCGCAAACTCTGGAAAGGCCAAGCTGTCCTTACGCTTAAATAAAAAAAAAAAAGGAAGCTATAAAGACACTGGGAGCATTGTTCAATGCAATCTTAACCTCGTTACTAGATGGAGGTAAAACATCACTTTAATGTCCCTGGCTGCTTAACCTTAGTACCCACCGGAAAGTAGGCTGGTGGGTTCCAGAGTCAGTTAGGACACTGTGGAGAAAACAAAAATCTCTGCCCTTGTTGGACCCTAACTCCTTGGTTGTCCAACCTGTAGCCTAGTCACTATACTGACAAAGGTATCCTGACTCATGCATGTAGAAGAACAAGTCATTCAGACTGGACCCTACATCATTCACACCTATGCAGCGACCCACCTGTGGAAAATTGGCATATATTTCAGTGATGGGTGCTCACTGGGAATACCAGTAATATTTGAATATACACACATTGCCATTAATATGTGTGTAAAATTATTTTTCATAATAAAGAAAGTCAAACAACAATTTGACACAGTAAATATTTTACACATTAATCCTTAACTAGACTGGAGTTATGTCAAAAACCATATACTTTTTTTGTGTGTTCAGATTCATACTAAAGAATATTCAACAAACCTTTACCATAACTTTAGACCTACTCATTTCTAATCAGTGTCTCTGAAGCTTACAGTGAAGTTTATTTTTTACAAAATGTTTACCAAAATGCCACCTGACATCATCAGGTGCAAATATTCTCATACAAAAAGCTTAGATAACATGACTTTTTAAATTTTAACTTTTGTATTTAGTTTCTGGTTTACTGTGTGGAGCAGAGACATATGGGACTCTAGTTAAGGCTCTTAAGCAACTGTAATATGGAAGGCTACTAAATTTGCTACTTGCATGCCAAGCTGTAGCATATAGGGTTGAAAAATGACGATAATTTTCAGGATAGGAAACACTGTTACCATACAGAATCCATCTATCAATTTTATTATCAGAACCTGTAACATAAAAAAACTGGAAATATCATGAAGTCATATTTCAAAATCTGTAAAATTGCACATGGAGAAAAATGTGAAAATATCAATGTAAAAGAATCTTGTTGTCACTACTCGACATACAAACAGAGGCAAACCATTTTGTCACAAATACTAGGAGACAATGTACACTGAATACAGAAATATTATCTGCATAAAATATGCAGGCCTACATAATACGAAAGGTTTATTGCAGAAGTTCTGTCTTCTAGGATATAACACCATATAGTTGGCTCTGCTAGTTGCCTGCTTCATGCTGGTTTCTTCAACGGCTTATGTTTCAACCTTTAAGATGGTGGTGACACATTCCATGAAACATCTGTTGATATTAACTTGACTACATGGCATTACATCCTAGAAGACAAAACTCTTCATAACCTAAACATATTATGGAATATGCTGTGTATTTATGCAATAGTCTCTCTCACACAGTTTGCTAAATTATTTATGTAAACACAACCACCACCACCACATCTGAACACACTGTTTGTTATGTACTCAGAGTTCTACTGTTTCCAAATTATGGCATACTTCGGTTGCTTCCATTACAATGAACCTAATTTTTAAGTACTTTAGGCGACAGTTAATTCTACACGAAGATAATCTGAGAGCACATTGAAAACTGTTCTACTGCACAGGAGAAACAGCTACACACTATTCTTATCAGCTAACCCACACACTTTCAGACTTGTGATGTGGGTGACAAACAAACGGTCTATAAGAAGAAGAAGAAGAAGAAGAAGAAGAAGAAGAAGAAAACCTCCAAATTACAGCAGATGCTGGAAGTACCTTCCATTCTACCACATGTATTCCTCAAACTTTAATAACAGCTCTGCATTCTAATGCTCAAGTTCTTGGAAAATAGAGTTAAGTTTTCTGTCATGTCTGTAGTTGTGTGGGGGTTTGATCTGTAAATGATATACTTCATGATACCTCCAAAATAAGAGTTGGATGGCAATGATGAAGCTGAGTAATGTATCATTTTTCCCCAATAAACTTTCATTTCATTTATACAGTGAGGTAAATTAACAGACTAGTGGATATGATATTCAAGTCCACACAATTCAAGACTAATAAATGTGGTTCAACTGCATGACTACAGAACTGATGCATAGTACGGTGTGGGTGCAGCAGAATAATTGGACTGATTTTCTTCAAGGACAGAATTCTGAAAGGAGTATGTAGCAGATGCTGTACTCGTTCTTTTGAGTGGCTAACAGAAGAAGAATGTCTGTATCCATTCTTCCATTAAGACTCGACTACTGCTCATACAGGTGTTCTTCTGCCTGACCAGGTGAACAGTTTGTTGTAGGCTTTCAGATCTTCCCCGTATTAAATGATACTATTAACCAAAAATTACAGGGGTAATACATAATGGAAAACTCTGGTAGGTATTCCTCTATGATATGATGGTACGGTTTACAACGTCAATGTGTACCACTGCAAACAAGAAAAATGAATATGTACTAAATAACACTTTATTTAATATAGAATTACTGGGGGTTGG